GCTCTCTTCCGGGCAAATTAAAAAAAAAAAAAAAAAAGAAAAAGAATGAATAAATAAATAAAATAAATAAATTTAAATAAATAATTTTTTAAAAAGGCCTGGGGCCAGCAGGGTGGCGTGGTGATTGGGGTGCTGGTCTCTCACATGGCTGACCATGGTACAGGTCCCAGATCAGCAGCTTAAAACTCATGCCAGGTACATTTGTGTGTGTGCCCAAAATCCCAAGAGGAGAATGGAGAATGGATTGCAGTGTGGCCATCCACCCTGGGGGTGATTTCTTGCTTTCTGTCTCTGTTTCTCTCAGATAAGCACATATACCTATAGCAATAATCTCTCCCCTCAAAAAAAAAAAAAATGGCCCATGTGTTTTTTAAAATTATTTTTATTTAACTTTATTATTTATTTATTTAAATTTGACCACAGATGGACAAAGCGAGAGAGAGAGGGAAAGTGAGAAAGCAAGCTGCCAGGTCTGGGGCTTGAACCATGGTCGGCCATGTGGGAGGCCAAGTGGGAGTCCAACGCCCTTAACTACCATGCCACCTGCTGGCCTGGTCCACGTATTTTTTAGTTTTATTTATTTTATTCATGATAGCACATGTATGAGTGAGAAAGAGAGAGAAAAAAAAGACAGGTTCCTCGGCAGTCTTTTCATCCTGTGACCCTCTTTGTCCAGCATTAAGATCTTGGTCATCCATGCATGTACCCCACACATTTCAGATGAACTAAGGATCTGAATCCATGGTCAGCCATATGACTTCCAGCACTGCAGTTCAAAACCACTTGTAACACTAAGGCTGAGCTCATATTTTATTCTTTTAATTGCTAGAGGGTGTGTGCGCTCACCAGATACAGAAGGAGAGAGAAAGCAACCTCCAGTAGAGTGCAATCATGTCACAATCCTTCATCTCCATCCCATCAGGATTTGGGGCATGTACATGCTTGGCATGTTTCTCAAGTTGCTGAGGCCAGGACTTGAACTATGGTTAGCCACACTGGCTCTGGTTTTCTAAGCACAGTGCTTATCTACTGTTCTACAAGATTGACCCATATATAATATATATTATTTTTCAAAATTTGCTACAGGGTGTGCACACTTGCCAGAGACAGCCAGCCAATTATATATAGAGAGAGGTAAAGTAAAAAGCACCCTGAAGGGGGATGGCCATGTCACAGTCCTTTCTCCTCCATTCTCCTCTCAGGATTTTGAGCATCCATGCACATGCACATGTGTTGGGCATGTTTTTCAAACCACTGGGTCTGACAACACAGTCACCAGTGGCCAGCCCCCATTGTTGTTGTTGTTGTCGTCTTTTATTATTGAGGACAGGACTGCCCCTCCCATTTTTAAAAAAATGAATAATTTTGTGTGTCCAATTGCTATGATAGGGAGCTAGGAGGTGGTATGGTGGTTAAGACACTGGACTTCCACCTGGCCAACAGTGGTTTGAGTGCCAGAGCTGGAAGCTAGCTTTCTTACTTTCCCTCTCTCTGTCTCTGTGTGTTAAGCAAATGTGCCTTACAGCAAAATAATAATAATAATAATAATAATAATAATAATAATAATAAAATAAAATAAATATTTTTTAAAAGCCCTATGATATTTAGATTTCATTTGGGTACATTTAAAAATGTACATTGTTGGACACCCACATGACCGGCTGTAGTTCAAATCCCGGACCTGGTAGCTTGAAAATCACATTGGGCACATGTGCCCAAGATCCTGAGGGGAGGATGGAGGAGAAGGCACTGTGGTATGGCCATCCTGCCTGGGGGTAATTTCTCACTTTCCCTCTCACTGTCTCTGTTTCTCTGTCTCTCTGGCAAGTATAAGCTCCCTAAGGCAAAAATCTCAAAAAACAAACAAACAAAAATCAAGTTATAATTTTCTTGAAATTATACTTTGTAAGAACCTAAATATAAATGTATATTAGTGGGACCAGCAGTTGGCATAATGGCTATGTCACTGGATTCCCATGTAATTGACTACGGTTTAAGTCCCAGACCTGGTGGCTTAAACTCATGCCGGGCGTGTGTGCGTGCGTGCCCAAGATACCAAGAGGAGAATGGAGGAGAAGGGATTGTGGTGTGGCCATCCTCCCTGGGGGGGGATTTCTTGCTTTCTGTCTCTCTGTCTCTGTCTTTCTGGTGAGCACATGCACCCTATAGCAAAAACCTCTCAAAAAAAAAAAAGAATATTTTCTCTTTCAGTGTATGTGTATTACTTTTTTAGACAGCAATGAAGTTATTAAAACATAAAAACTGAGACAGGCAGATGGCGTAGTGATTACATCACTGGACTCCCACGTGGCTGACCAAGACTTGAGTCCTGGTTGCTAAAAACACATGCTGGATGCATGTGCATTAGTGCCTAAGATCCCAGGAGGAGAAGGTATTACAGCAAGGCCATCCCCCCAAGAGGTGATTTCTTGCATTCTGTCTCTCTGTCTCCCTCCATCTCTCCAGTGAGCGCCTGTGCCCTATATAGCAAAAATCTCTCTTAAAAAAAATTAAGTTGTTTAGACCATTTTTTCACATAATAAATTGAACTGTCAGCTATTTCTTTTGGTCTAGAGTGAGAAAATATTATGACAAGTAAGGGTGACATGAATTGAAAAAGGTTGAGACCTCCTACTTTTTTTTTTTCAATTTGCTTTTTTTCAGTGTATGCTCGCTGGAGACAAAAAGAGAGAGGAAGGAAAAGAGGGAGAGAGTGAAAGCACTTCCCATGGGGGATGGTCACACAACAATCCCTTCGCCACCACTGTTCTTTTTGGGATTTTGGGCACAATGCACAATGCCCAGCATGTTTTTCAAGTCACTGGGCCATTGGCTGGTCCCCAAGGATCTCTATTTTAAGAGTATGGAAACGGGCCAGTAGATGGAGTAGCAGTGACATCACTAGACTCCCACATGGCCGACTGCCGTTTGAGTCTCAGACTCAGTGACTTGAAAATCAGGCCAGAAGAGTAGGCATCCACAATTGTGTGTGTGCGTGTGTGTATGCATGCACACCCCTAAGATACCTGGAGAAGAATGGAGGAGAAGGGATTGCAGTGTGGTCATCCACCCTGGGGGAGTGATTTCTCACTCTCCCTCTCACTGTCTCTGTCTCTCTCTTTCCCTGGCAAATCCAAGTACCCTAAGGAAAAACCTCTGAGAAAGAAGAATATAGGAGCAAAGTTTGATGAACAAAGCCTAGGAATTCCTCTTTTGTTATGCTTGAGATTGCCAGTAGGTGGTGCTACCAAGATGGAGTCTGCTGGGTCTGAAGACCACAGGGACTATTCACAGACAAGAATTTTAAATAAAAAAGGATCTTCAGATCACTTAGTTTAGTAGTTTTCAAACTTAAAAAGCAAACAAACAAAAAAATACATATAATGAGATCTTTTTAAACAAAATTTCAAAATAAATAAAAGCAGCACCATTCTGAAGTGGGCTACAGATGGTTGAAACTCTACAATAATGACCCCTGAGCCCAGAAGACAACACCCTGGAGTGAACACCGCAAGAAAATCACTCTATATCAACATCTTCTTCACAAGCTCATAAAGGTATCACAAGGGCAGGCAGTGGCAGAGCTGGTTCTAGAATGCACTTCTCCCAACAGATCTGAAACGGAAGACCAAACCATCTACTTCATCCTACTGATCAGAAGCTGGAAGGGTTGGGGAGGGCTCCACTCTACGACCCACTCCTATAACACCTCAGGCAAACCTTTCTTTATCTGCAAAATGAGACAGTATTTATCTCAGCAGGTCATTGTCAAGATGAAATACTTTTTAAAATGTAAATAATATGATGATAAAAATATAAATAATATGTAAATAACTACTCAGTAAGCTACAAAAATATACAGAATTATCTTATTCTGGTTGGGTCTGGATCAAAGGAACAAAAGATTGAGTAGCAGAAAGTAGTTGGGAAAGGACAAAGATTTGGAGGCTAATGGGTTTTCAAGTGTTGTGACCTATAATAAAATGGTCCTTGATTTACTGTGAAGTACTTTTATTTTTTAAAGAATTATTTTATTTTTAACTTTATTTATTTATTTTAATTTGACCAGAGAGGGATAGAGTGAGAGAGAGAAAGTGAGGAGGCAAGCCGCCAGGTCCAGGAATTGAACTGCAGTTGGCCAAGTGGGAGTCCAGTGCCCTTAACCACCGCACCACCTCCCAGTCCCCACTGTTAAGTATTTCTGACCAATAGTTCGGTCCCTGTGGGAAGGAGGGACACAGATTTTTGGGGGGACCTTCCTAAATGACATTCTTTATTCACCTCATCATTTCCCACTCTTACCATCTCTCACCTTGCAAAGCCAACCCCTCTGCTGGTCCCACTGTTGTCTCGAAGGATTCGGGTGGAGATAACCTGGCCAAATGGCTTCAGCATCCCTTCTAGTTCTTGCTCGTCCATTGACAGGGGGAGGTTTGAGATGTATAAATTTGTGGGGTCCTGCTCCTGTTGCTAAAGAAATCGAAGTGAGAAAATGAGGTTTGCATCTCCTATTCCTTTCCACCCTCAGCCCTCATCCACATAATGATCTTTCAGAAAAGAGTAGGAAGGGTCCCACATAAACAAAGAGAACTTTAACTATTTGTAACACCTTGTCCCACTACTGTGGGTCATATGTTGAGTTCAGGAAAAAAACAGCAACCAGATTGAATATTTCTAACGCTCTACAAGCCCATAATACAAGTCCTCAATGATGTCTGGCTGCCCCTTTAAGAACAGGAAGAGCGCAGAGCCCATATGCCCTGCCCTCAAGGCTGTCCCAGGGGCTAGGCTCTCTCAGACTGCCTTACCCCTTGACTGAACTGTTCTGAGTAACTCCACCCCCGTCTTCCGGCTGAGGCCTGAGGCCGACTCCAGAGTAGGAATGCCTGTTCACTCCCTGATGGAGGGAGAGCAGGCAGAAAAAGGGCCAGATGTCACTTGCTGGGTCACACAAAGCCCCAAAAGCGCAGGTCTCCTAGGAACCCTGAGGACTCCAAAACTTTTGAACTCCTGTCAGAGGGTTTCACTCCAGAAAGAAAAAGTGGGAGAGACTTAGAATGTACAAAATGGCACTATCTTCTATTTTTTACAAATCTAAGCAGTCACTCTGCCTTACACAGTGGGTGACCAGTGATGTTAGTCCCTCTTCTGCCTCTCCCTCCAGAGTTTTTGCTGTTGTTGTTGGGGTTTTTTTTTTTTTTTTTTTGCTATAGGCTATATGTTCTTGTCAGAGAGACAGAGAAAGACAGAAAGCGAGAAATCACCCACTGGGGGCCTGGCCACGCTTTCTCCTCCATTTCCTCTTGGGATTTTTGGGCACACACACATATGCACTCAGCGTGAGTTTTAAGTTGCCAGGTCTGGGACTCGAACAGCAGTCGAACACATGGGAGTCCAGCACCTTAATCATCTTTTTCTTTAACCACTACAGAATAGGGTGGCTGGTAGGCTGGCCTCATTGGCTCTGCACATAATACTCACAATGGCTTCAGAAAGGCAAAAGGACAACCCCCCTCAAGAGAAGTGGTGAGAGAAAAGCTTGTTTCCTAGTAGTCTAGATGAAGACAACAGCTGCAGACTGATCTGAGGAGGGGCATCCTGGCTGTGGCTCCCACCTCCCCCAGCTCACCACAGCACCACTACTGGAGCAGTATTGGGAGGTTAGAGACACTTCAGAACTTCTGGGTTGCACAACTAGCTTCTGCAGAGAATGTTGCAGAACTACCACAATTGGTCTGGTGGGGAAGTAGGGCCAGGGTGGCGAGAGGAAGCAGCAGCATTCCTGGAAGAGCCTCCTGACTGACCCTCTTGCTCTCACGATTACTTGACAGAGGAGCACGGTCGACAGAGCCATCTGCCACAGACTGAATACAATCTTCCAACAGCCAGCCCTGGCCCAGACTGCCTTTGGACAGATGAAGTCAGAAAGCACCGCAGATAGCCCTTGCCCAACGTGGTTTTTAAGCCCTGTGGAAACCTCAGAACTGGAACTCTGGTGTGAACCACAGCCCGTTGGAGGGATGGGCACGGGACAGTAGTACCCTTACCTTTGCCATCTGGGCCTGCACACCACTGGCTTTCAGTGCTGTCACAGCTTTCTGTGCTGCTGAAGGGCTGTCAAAATCCACAAAGCCATAGCCTGGAACAGGGAAACAGCATCACTGGGAGGTGGGAGGCAAGGGAGGTAGAAGTCCCAGGCTTTTCAGGAGACAGGGTTATGATCCATGTCACAGAAGTGGTGGGGAGAAAGAGAAATTAAGAGGTTTCAGGTGGTTATCCATGTGCTCCTCCCACCCTGAGATTTGGTCTGCCTTGTGGCTAAGAACATCAAGGACAGTGAGGGAGGTCCTTGGAATACTCGCCCCTGATCCCCTGATAATTCCTAAAGAACTCACTCCCCATTTCTAGACACACCTAGAAATGACAAGCATGCAGGGAATGCAGCATCTGCAGAGCAGTCAACCAGCCACCTGATGGAGGAAGGTCCTCCCACCCCAACCAATAGCCTTTTCTCCTCCTTCCACTCTTCCAACTCCACACAAAACTGCTCAAAACACCAATGAAACTATTCATCCTCAGAAAACAATGCCTACCAAGCCACCCCCCCACCACCACCACAAAAGGCATTTCCATTGCTTTGCTAGGTAGAAATGATCTCACCTGCCTACCACCAATATCCCAACTGGGGGGACACAAGGTCTGAAGTAAGCACAAGGAACCCAGGGGTGTACTGTGCAGTCTTCTAGCCTTGGGTCCCCCAAATGCATTTTTCAGCTCTTGCTATGTGGTCACCAAGGAATCTAGAGATCTTCTAGTCTCTATAGACTAAAAACCTCAGAGACTCCTCCTGGCACCGGGTATTCTGGATTCTCAGCAGGGAAGGGTGGAGGGAAGAGATGGCCTCAAGCTGCTCTCCCATCTCCAAGGACAGCTGTTCTCTCACCTTTGCATTTGTTTGTGGTCTTGTCCAGGATGGCCTTAGTGGAGACAATCTTGCCATATCTAAGGGAAAGGAAAATGCAGTGTGATAATCTGTGGCAGGAATAAAGCATAGAATAGAGACTGAGACATCTGGTTAGAGCCAGGCCCTTTCTCTCCTCCCACCAGGACAAACTTTCCAACTTGAATCTGAATAAAAACAAAAGCAGCCCCAGTAGGTGGCATGATGATTAAGGTGATAGATTTCAAACAGCCACTTCACAGTTTGAGTCACAGACAGAGTGGCTTGAAAATAATACTGGGGGCACGTGCGTGTGTGTCCAAAGTCCCAAGAGAAGAGTGAAGGAGAAGGGATTGCAGCATGGCCCCTGGAGGATGCCTTCTCACTTTCCCCTCTCTCTATCTCCAGCAAGCACATGCGCCCTATACCAAAAGAAATTTTTTAATAAAAAGCTACTTTTAACATAAACCTACCCTCCAAAGGTGCCTACAAAAATAAGGTAACTGTAGTCATTATATTATTAACTTCTCCTCTTCCCCTACTAAGACACTAGTTGGAAAGACAAGATTCTTTTGGGGAAACAAGTGTGGCAATGTCCACACAGCAGTGTGTAAAGGCACAGCTCTGGCTGGGATGCCTTGAGGACTAAAAGAAAACCTTGCTATGACTCGTCTTCTGTTGGACAAACACCATTCCTAAAGAATATTAAATTGAATTAAATTTAAAAAGCTGTAGACAGTTCTTGGACACCCATTTCTACTCCTCTTGGTTGAAAGTCAACCCTGAGCCAAACTGTTTTGGTTCAAATCCTGGTTCTGCTGCTTCCTAGCGATGTGTGATCTTGGACAAATCATCTAATCTTTCTGTGTCTCAGCCTCATCACCTGTAAAGTGAAGATTGGATTGTTAGGAATATGCAACGAGTTGATAATTGTAAAGCACTAATGTCTACCACATGGTAAGCACTTGAAAATCTTAGCTGCTATGGTCATTATTATATTCAAAGGGCTCCAACTTTAATCTACTGCCAATGGTGGTGTCTCCTGCCTTCCCATATTCTGAGACTTCAACTTCTCATCGTCAGGATTTGAGTGTGGAGACCAGCAGATTGAGTAATGGTTAAGTCACTGGGCTCCCACTAGTTGACTGTAGTTCAAGTTCCCAACCCAGTGGCTTAAAACTGACATTGGGCACGTGCATGCGTGCCCAAAATTCTGACAGGAAAGTGGAGAAGGGATTGTGGCATGGCCATCACCCCTGGGGGGTGATTTCTTGCTTTCTGTCTCTCTCTGTCTTTCCAGTGAGTGCACGCACCCTATAACCAAAAAAACTCTCTTGAAAAAAAGAAAGCTTTCAGTGTGTTTGGGAAGGGAGTGGGAACAGACCAGGTGTAACAGCAATGTTGGTAAAGTCATCTGAGACTTCTGATAAGGGAAAAGGAGGGCTATATACCCTGTCGGTGCATTCTGGAGCAATGTCCAAAGGTCCTTTCATTATCCAAGGGACATGTCTTTGTTTGACTTACTATTAATATTTACAACTGATTAGGGCCCAGACATTATGAAAACATACATTAGCATGTAGACTTCTGTCCAGCAGAAATGCAAATTATTTCTTTGCTGTAAAAAAGATAACCCCAGGGCCAGCAGATGGTAGGGTAATTAAGGCGCTGGATCTTGCATGGCTGAAGCTGCATTTTGGGTCTGGGACCTGGCAGCATGAAAAACACACTGGGTGTGTGTACATGAGTGTGCAAAATCCCAAGAACAGTGGAGGAAAGGGGACTGTGGCATGGCCATCTGCCCTGAGAGGTGATTTCTCATTTTCCCTCTCTCTTTGCCTCTGTTTCGCTCTGGTGAGCACACACATTCTACAGCAAAAACCTTTAAAAAAAAAAAATCCCAAAAGGTTACCAGTTATTTTTTAAGAATTATTTTATCTAGGGGCTGGCTGGTGGAGTGGTAGTTAAGGGTACTGGACTCCCATGTGTCTGACTGCGGTTTGAGTCCCAGACCCGGTGGCTTGTTTTCTTCCTCTCTTGCTCTGTCCCTCTCTGATCAAATTAAAATAAATAAATAAAATTACATAAAATAATTATTTTAAAGATTTTAGGGACTAGCAGTTAGCATAATGGCTATGTCACTGGACTCCCATGTAGTTGACCACGGTTCGAGCCCGGACCTGATGGCTTAAAACTCAGGCTAGGTGCGTGTGCGTGCGTGCCCAAGATCCCGAAAGGAGAATGGAGGAGAACAGGGATTGTGGTTGTGGTGTGGTCATCCCCCCTAGGTGGTGGTTTCTCGTTTTCTATCTCCCTGTCTCTCTCTGTCTTTCTGGCGAGTGCATGCACACTATAACAAAAACAAACAAAAAAACTGGTAACCTTGGGGCTGGCAGGTGGTGTGGTGGTTAAGACACTGGACTCCCACACAGCTGACCACAGTTTGAGTCCCAGACCTGGCAGCTTACTTTCCTTCTCTCTCTCTCTCTCTCTGAAGAGAGAGAATAATAAATAATAATAAGAAGAAATAAAATAAAATAATTATTAAAAAAAAAAAAGCACTGATAACCTTG